TGGTTCGTCAAAAAGAGACATTATTTTCCAAACTAAAGAAGTTAGTTCAGAATTTATGATTCAATAATACTGAAGCACTATTCAGAACAACCCGTAAGCTATAATGTTGTTAAATATAAACTCAAACTCAAAAGCATTTATTTCAATTAAACCATAATTTGGTACTTTTGAAACGTCAACAAATATGAAATAAATAATAGTCTGTCAGTCTGTCTGTCAGTGAAGCTAGATGCTCGTTCCAAAATGTCGATTCAAGTGGAGAAGAACGAGCAAGAAACTCCATTCGTTACTCTTTTTAAAAAAAGTCTGTTTTACATTGCTCTGATACATATCAGATAAACTTATCTCAGCTTAGGGGTTCCATAAAATAGAAAGGTAAATGGGTATCAAAAACGTACTTTTCTCAATTTAGACATATATAACATAACATCACGCCTTTTATCGCCGATGGGCTAGGCAGAGGTGCACATTGTCAATGCAATCCGTACGCAAAAATACAGACGAAAAAATAAAGAATTGTAGCAACAAGAGTCAAAAGACTGCCACGAAAAAGTTCGTGGATAACACATAATTATGTCGTTGTAATTTAAAACTATCTGACTTGGATTTTTGTTTATATTTTTCTGATAACTGTTGGAACCATGCCGATCATATAGTCGTCGACTTCAGCGATATCCTGTATATATAAAAATGCTGAACACGCGCCCGACGTGCCTGACGCGTCAATTCTATAGATAAACTGTAAAAACCTTAGATCCATCCAGAGATACTAAATTAAAATCGATTGTAAACACAGTATTGTATAGTATGTCGTGGTGGCCCGGAGGTTTAAGACGCCCACTTCTCATGCATGAGGGTGCGGGTTCGAAACCTACCAACGGCAAGTACCAATGTGACTTTTTCCGAGTTATATGTACTTTCTAAGATTATTTAGACACCACTGACAAACGGTGAAGGAAAAACATCGTGAGGAAACCTGGACTTATAATTTCTAATTATAAGTTTGAAATCGCCAACCCGCATTGAGCAAGCGTGGTGATTAATGCTCTAACCTTCTCCGTGTGAGAAGAGGCTTTGCTCAGCAGTGGGCATTTATAGGCTGTTGATGATGTAAACACAGTAAATAAAACAAAACTTCACATATGTATCGTAAACTATATATTTATAATAAAAACACATACTATGATATAAAAATAACAAAATAAAATCCTTTCGATCAAATCATTATACAGACCAAATCCTATACTCGTCGCAAATATCTTAGTATCTGCTACGGAATAGAAAAAACTAAACGAAATGTGATGTAGGCGCGGTGTGCCACAATGGTACGTTAATATATCGTACCCAGAATCTGAGGGCCAAGCACGAATAACTATCGCATTCGTATCGTAACAGTATCGAGCGAGTTAAGCGTTCTTAGTGCCTAGCACGAATAACTATCGCATTCGTAACGTAATAGTATCGAGCGCGTTCGGCGCTCTGATTGGCCGGCTCAAGTGAACCAACCAATCAGAACGCTTAACTCGCTCGATACTGTTACGTTACGATTGCGATAGTTATTCGTGCTTCGCCCTCTGATTGGTTGGTTCACTTGAGCCGGCCAATCAGAGCGCCGAACGCGCTCGATACTATTACGTTACGAATGCGATAGTTATTTGTGCTTGGCACTCTGTGCATACAAAAGTACAGCTATCGAAGCGCTCACAAAATTAAATACTATAACATAACATCACGCCTTTTTAATCCTCGAAGGGGTAGGCAGAGGTGCCACTGTACAATGTAACACCCACTTTTCACTATTTATGTTATGACTCCCATGTAATAGGGGGTGAGTGTATTAGACTGCCTCATTAGCCGAGTGGTCGCAAGTGCGACTGCCGGGTAAGAAGCTTCGGGTTCGATTCCCGGGTCGGGCAAAGTTTTAGTGAGTTTGTAAAAACCTCAGTAGTAGTACGGAGTCTGAAAATGTGCCCGGTACATATATAACATCAAGACTTTTTATCTCCGAAGGGGTAGGCAGAGGTGCACATTACGGCACTTAATACCACTGTACAATGTAACACCTACTTTTCACTATTTATGTTATGAGTCCCATGTAATAGGGAGTGAGTATATTGCCATAAACCGGGCACATTTCCAGACTACGTGCTACTGAGATTTTTAAAAACCCAGTAATACTTTGCTCGACCCGGTAATCGAACCCGAGACCCCTTGCTCGACAGTCGCACTCGGCCAACGAGGCAGTTATTATTATATATTCCAATGTTTTGAGACAGTCATAGCGTGCTACATTATTCGTCTCGCGCACAGGCAACGCGCGATTTCGCCGCCATTGACGCTGATTGTTGCGTTTGCATTGATGATACGCGCATGAAGGGCGTATATGCGCGTCTACTGCGCGTATCACGATCGAACTCGTCGGATTACAAAGTTGCGTTCGAACCTCACTTTAACCTCTCGCGCGCCTCTCGTACACACGGGTAAATATTTTAATAGAAAAACGAATTAACTATCCTGCAGCTGTAGCCAAATGCCATTTAGCGCTTGTCTACATGTAGAATAGAAAAATAAATTACATGGAATTGACGTAAATTTTGACACTTGTCAGTGTCATCCCCATACATTTTGATTTCTACTCTCTGTAGACAAGCGCTAAAGTGGCGTTTGGCTAAGGCCCCTGGTGCCTTATTAATGTATGGGGATGACACTGACAAGTGTCAAAATTTACGTCAATCCTTACTAATATTATAAATCGGAAAGTGAGTTTGTTTGTTTGTTTGTTTGTTCCGACTTCACGCCGTAACTACTAAACCGATTGCATTGAATTTTTGCAGACGTAAAGTTAGTAGTCTGAATTAAATAATAGGGTACTTTTTATCCCGGAAAAATTGATATTCCCAAGGGAAAACAAAAGTATTGGTATAGATGGCGCTGTATGTATTGGTATATGTCACATAGGCTACTTTTTATCCTTTTGTGACGCGAGCGAAGCCGCGGGTAAAAGCTAGTTCCATATAATTTGATTTTCTATTCTACATATAGACAAGCGCTAAATGGCATTTGGCTACAGCTGCTGTTCAATCAAATAAAGAACGGGTTGCAAACTTGAAAATATACGTCACAGAAAAAATATCCAATCGGTGCGCGTTTCTCGTACACCCGTGTGTACAATTGCGCGATGGGCACTCAACTCTCACACTACACCCGTGTGTACGAGAAACACACGAGATGAAGCTCGTTTACGCGCAGTAGACGCGCGTTCCCTGAGCGTATAAACATACGCTATGTGCTATGAGCCTACATTTAAACGAAATTTTTGCATTGCATAAATCTTTTACGTCCAGTTTCTATAACCTATATAGGTATCTGTAGATTTGCCTACCAGAGATAGAATTTTGACATGAGCTCCATACAAAATTCTATCTCTAGTAAGCAAATCTACAGATATATAGGTTATAAAAACTGGATGTTAGTCAGATAGGTACGCTGAGAAGACCAAAAACAGCCGAAATACACAATTAGGTACTTGCTGACTAATAAAATTCAATTTTTTTTTTCGAACCGTCAAAAACTACAGTTTTCTATGAATTTTGTGCGAGATTGTGTATTGTGACGTCACGTTTTTTTAGCGTCAAACAGCATAGTTACCTTTAAAAATTTGTTGACAATACACCAAAATAAAGTTGGTCATAAAATCAATTAATGAAAGTGTGATTATTCTTATTGTATTGAACAGTCGAAATAATTTATCTTATACTATTGTATAAAGCGGAAGAGTTTGTTTTTTTGTTTGTTTGTTTGAACGCGCTAATCTCCGTAACTACAAGTCTGATTTGAATAACTATTTTTGTGTTGGATAGCGCATTTATCGAGGATGGCTGTAAGCTATAAAACATCACGCTACGACCAATAGGAACTGAGCAGAGCGTGTGAAACCGCGCGTCAGTAGCTAGTTTTTGATAAAAGAAAGTACCCAATTATCACCATTCCTAGAAGATTTAATTAAAAGTAAAATCTATTAACTTAAAACTTAATTACACTTTAACAGACTTAGAACAATAATACCTAAAGCAACTATATACAGTTATATATTTTTATATAAAGTATAGTATATTGAGATTTATACTAAAATAATTGGGGAATACCAACGTACGGCCGTTTCCACCGAACACCCCCCAAACAATGTCTTAACTAAAAGTGACTTAGCGCGACATAGCACCTAAAACTAACCCCTTACTTGTACTATTGTGTCACTTATAGAGTTGGTATCCTTATCCTTACTAATATTATAAATCGGAAAGTGAGTTTGTTTGTTTGTTCCGCTTTCACAACGTAACTTCTAAACCGATTGCTTTGAATTTTTGCAGACGTAAAGTTAGAAGTCCGGATTAAATAATAGGGTACTTTTTATTCCGGAAACATTTGATATTCTCGAGGAAAAACGAAATTATTGGTATAGATGGCGCTGTGTGTATTGGTATATGTCACGTAGGCTACTTTTTATCCTTTTGTGACGCGAGCGAAGCCGCGGGTAAAAGCTAGTAATCTATAATGTTGTTAAATATATCTTAGCTTAGGGGTTCCAAAACGGGTAAACGGGTATCAAAAACGTACTTTTTCTCCATTTACATATATATAACATAACATCACGCCTTTTATGAGCTAGGCAGAGGTGCACATTGTGACACTGTACAATGTAACACCCACTTTTCACTATTTATGTTATGAGTCCCATGTAATAGGGGGTGAGTCTATTGCGATATACCGGACACACACAATTATTATTTTTTTAAATTTAGTATTCAGCAACAACAGTCGTAATAATTTACTTTTGATTAAGTAAAGTACCCAATTGCTTACCTATCAGGTGATCCGTCTGCTCGTTTACCGGCTTATCCAATAAAAAAAACACTTGCGTTTACACTCTGTATACTGAAGCACGACTTATAATTGAGTAACATTTCAGTATTCGGATACAAGCCATCAATATAAACGATTTATTAAGCATCAAAATTGTATTCGTCAGAAATCAAATCTGTATTACCCTTAGCTTGCATTAAATCGTTAAAACTACCATTATTATCACGGGAACCCTCGTTATTTTCGCCAATTTCAGCGTCTAAAGCTGCCATTAACTTATCATCGTCGTCAGCGTCAGAATGCTTGACTTTATCGTTACTGACTATAACACTAACGGTGTTAGTCGAATCGTTATTCCCAATACAACGATTCTCGTTAACATCATCCCTGATATCGTTTTCATCTTTATCTTGTGTTAAATTCGATTCATTCTCCGTTAATTTCGAATCTAGACCGGAATTATCAGTTTGTGATTGATTTTCATCGTTATTCTGAGAATTATCGACATTATTTTTATCGTTTTCTTTTTCATTCTCGCTTAATATATCATTTTGTGTATAATCGTTCAATAAACTTTCACTGGCTGTACCAATAGAACTAGAATCCTGACTATTTTCATTAAACACTTTAATTGAATTAGAATCCCCATCTTTCTCAAAATCATTTTTAGATACACAATTTTCAACCTTATCATCATTGGATAAAGAACTATTATCATTCGAAACTCCATTATTTTTACTATCATCTAAATCACTAATTGTATTCGATTCGTTATCTCTGACTCCGTTATCGTTAACACTTATTTCATTAATAGTACTGTTATTAACATTATCTATACTATTACCACTAGACAATTTTGAACTTGTAACATTGCACTCGCCACTAAATTCACTTTCCTCGTTACTTACAGCTAAACTATCGTTATTATCAACACCATCGTTACTATTAACCACTTCACCGTTACTTTTAACACTATCGTTAAATTCATTATCTCCGTTATCGTTATCATCATCTTGTAGATTATTAATTATATTATTAATATCTTTTGAAACATCATCTTCTTCAGCTAATAAAGAATCAAATAAATTCTTCTCTGGCTTAACCTTTCTTCTCTTCTTTGGAACTTTACCTAAACATCTTCTGGAGAACAGAGTCTTTAGTGACAGATTCGCTAGAGAATCGATTTTCTTCTCTTTCGGAGAAGGGACGATGAGAGAGCAGGATTCTGCTTCGCTCTCACTCTCAGAGTCCCAGTGTACATAGTCTTCTGCGGCGTAGAATTCGTGTTTGATATCATCTCGTATATCTACCATATGGTCTAGATACGGTTCCCGTTTGATGCGCAGTCCTGCTAAGTATGGATAATAGCAGTTCTTGTCAAGGCCATAATCCTGAAAAGAAGAATTTTTGGTTAATAGAAAAGATCTTTTGTAGCATTTTAGTAATACTTAGCTATGTTTTTATAATAACTATCGGGAGACATACTAAGTTAATCCTTAGAGCGCCACGTCAGTCACCGGTGCCTGACGCTAGTGGAGGTTTGACTTTCACCATTTTAAACTTGGCAGTTAAAGTATTAACTAAAATCGCGGGTTACTCACGTGAATATACTGAGAAAAGCTCTACTAGTTTCGAATTTCAGTGAGCTGCGCGACGTCGCCGCGACCGCGCACGCTGCTTATGAGGAAGAACCCCTCTGTGGGTTCAAACTAGTAGAGCTTTTCTCAGTATATTCACGTGAGTAACCCAAGATTTTTAGTTGATACCTAGCTACTTCCGCGCGGTTTTGTCCGTTCTGATCGACTCCTGATGGTCGTAACGTGATGTTTCATCCTCGAATCTCCAATAAATCCTCAAATTCCCAATTCCCAAAAGGCCGGTAACGCACTTGTAACGCCTCTGATGTTTCAGATGTCCATGGGCGGCGCCGATTGCTTACCATCAGGTGATACGTCTGCTCGTTTACCGGCTAATATCATAAAAGAAAAGTTTTTCTTCGATAAAGCTTTGTTTGTTTGTTTAAACGTGCCAATCTCCGGAACTACTGGTCCGACCTGAATAATTATTTTTGTGTTGGATAGCGCATTTATCGAGGATTATTATAGGTTATAAAACATCACGCTACGATTAATAGGTGCCGAGCAGAGCAGGTAAGATCGGGCGGGAGTAGCTCATCTTTATCTTTATATATAATACTAGCTTTTACCCGCGGCTTCGCTCGCGTTACAAAAGGATAAAAAGTAACCTATGTGACATATACCAATACACACAGCGCCATCTATACCAATACTTTGGTTTTCCCTCGGGAATATCAAAAATACCCTATTATTTAATCTGGACTTCTAACTTTACGTCTGCAAAATTTCAAAGCAATTGGTTTAGTAGTTACGGCGTGAAAGCGGAACAAACAAACAAACTCACTTTCCGATTTATAATATTAGTAAGGATAACTCTTCTGTGAGTGTGTATGTCACTGAACTTCACTGAAACGACTGGACCGATTTTGATGAAATTTTTTGTGTGTGTTCAAGGTGATCTGGGGATGATTTAGATTCACAAATCAGCCCGGCAGATGGCGCTGCAGTCGATTTCTAGGTTAGTTATCCCAAACGGCTGAACTAATTTTGAATGAATTTTTGTTTATACATTCAAGTGGATATGCAGGACAACGTCTGTTGGGTCCGCTAGTTCTATTATAAAAATCAAAGTCTACTCGAAATATTCAAATTCTCAATGAATATATTACTCAGAATCCTGTTTTTCAGACCTGCAGCTCTAGCCAAATGCCATTTAGCGCTTGTCTACATGTAGAATAGAAAACCAAATTATATGAAATTGACACTTGTCAGTGTCATTTTCATAAATTTTGATTTCTACTCTCACTGTAGACAAGCGCTAAAGTGGCGTTTGGCTAAGGGCCCTGGAACGACAATTTGTGCGATCACACAATCCGCGCGGGAATCAAACCCACACATCTCGTAGGAAAATAAATATTATGCAATACTTACATAAGGAACATAGGAGACATCGTAATGTCCGTCTTTAACATTAGCGAGTAAGCTGTCACAGCGCAAGATTCGAACCTGCACCGGTCGCAACTGCTTCAGTAACTCCGGATCTACGTTTAGTTCACCTGGAAATAAAATAATTATTATAACAGGATACGTAATACGCTGGTTTGGACATGTAGAAAGGGTAGATGAAAGTAGAGACGTAACGAAAGAAGTATACAGAGCGGATATGAATGGGGCCGTCGGTAGAGGGCGCCCTAGACGGACATATTACGGACACATTAGTCAATAAGAGTCTGACACTCCCTCCCGCCTCAGCCAGGCGGGAGCAGTCATTCGATGATTTTTCCCCCCTTAAAAAAAAAAGACGGACATATATACTGACCATCTCAGTTTCAATGCAATTTCAATCCAATAAAATCTCAATAATTATTCAATGTCAACACTATACAACCACAATCGTAGCTGTTACAATAGCATTCAGAGTACGGAATGTAAAGCCAAACTCAATACCATTTAGTTCATTCAATATCCGCACAATACGGATGGGCGCTATTGTCGCAATAGGGTAGTTTCCTAAATTTTATTTTAATGTCCGTCTGGTACATTAATTTAAAACTTTAGACACGTATTTTTTCTTTTCTCACAAAATTAAGTGCTTTCGACGATATATTGATTTGAAATGTCGTGTGACGTCACAGCGTGCCACATAACTCCTAAACTTAATTCTATTTTATCTAAGTATTATACGATAAAATAAAAAAATACGTGTCTAATATTTTTCCATTATCTAACTGACGGATTGAGATTTTTAATTTTCATACAAAGTAACTACCCAATTCAAGAGTATGAAGTTTCACAATACCAATGTCGATCGATCGGAATTGGATTCAAGAAATTGGATTGAAACAAAGAGTTTCCTTTTCTTATATAGAAGCATTAATTCTATGGATTGTCAGTATGTATATGTGAGCACCATGTTGGACATTAAGATTTTTTTTTTAATTTTAGTAAGTTATTAGTATAATGCGTCAAGCGAGTCTTTACATTGTTCTTACATATGCGTACAGTATTGAAATATGTATCAGAGACATCGTAGAACATACTTTTTTTAAAAAGAGTAACGAATGGAGTTTCTTGCTCGTTCTTCTCCATTCGAATCTACACTTTGGAATGAGCACCTAGCTTCACCTAATTTCACTGACGGACTGACTGACAGACTATTATTTATTTTGTATTTGTTGACGTTTCAAAAGTACCAATCTATGGTTTAAACTGTCAAACACCGCGAGGAGTGACCGCAACCTATTGTTCTTTAATTGTGTCTATAATGACGGTACTTGACGAGTTAATTGAAATATATGCTTTGACTTTGACTTTGATGAAAAAGAAAAAACGATGGTGGCACCCGAGTCTTTGCCGCCAAGTGTATTATATTATTTAACAAAGTATTACAAGACCAACCTTTCTTCCTCGCCGTGCATGTAGGTTCATGTTTCTTCAAGTTCCTCAGTAACGCGTAGTTTCGGTTACACTTTGAACATTTGCCTGCAAATGAAATACACATTGTAGTGTGTCACATAAGCGTCCGGGCCTAGTGTGGGCCATGATGCGGAGCGAGGGGGACTGGGATGCCGTCTCCTCCTTTTGCGAAGCACTCCTTTTGCGCAGCATGTGTGTACAATATTGGAATATGTATCAGAGCAATGTAAAACAGACTTTTTTTTAAAAGAGTAACGAGTGGAGTTTCTTGCTCGTTCTTCTCCACTCGAATCTACATTTTGGAACGAGCGCCTAGCTTCACTGACGGACAGACTGACAGACTATTATTTATTTCATATTTGTTGACGTTTCAAAAGCACCAAATTAAGGTTTAATTGAAATAAATGCTTTTGAGTTTGAGTTTGAGTCATGCTAGCTAAGGAGGAGACGGGACGCGTCGCAACCCAGCCATCGCGAGGGACACTCCGGGCGTCGGGGATCGCGGGACGATCTCCGGCCACCGTAAGCGCGGGCCTGCGGACGGCGAGCATGGGTGGCTCCCCGGCCGACCAGAAACAGACCTGAGCGGACGGCGCCGAGTGGTCCGCGTGCGATACAAAGAGCCATCAGACCACGTATGGGGCCCAATAGGGCTGATGCCGATACGGAGCCGCGGAGAACCTAACGGGTTACCGGGACTCTGGCCCGAAGTGCAGGAGAAGGAACGGGATGGTTTTTAGTCAGTAAGAGTGTGACACTCCCTCTCGCCTCACCCGGGCGGGAGAAGTCATTGGATGATTTTCGCCCTTAAATAAAGGTCGAAGTCTGCCGGCTGCGGGGCATCCGCAAAGGCGACCCGAGCCACGGCCACAGGCAGAGGAGGAACACCGCAGTGGTTTTAACCAGTAAGAGTCCGGCACAGCCCCCCATCGTGGGAACTCGTATGAGTATTTCCATAGCATTATTAAAAAAAAAAGTTCATAAAAGAATAATTAGTATTCATCGTCTAGAGACTACCTCGGTGTCCGAGTGGTCGCAAATACGACTGCCGGGCAAGGGGTCTTAGGTTCGATACCCGGGTCGGGCAAACAATTACTGGGTTTTAAAAAATTATCAGTAGTAGCACGGAATCTGCAATTGTGCTCGATATATGGCAATAGGCTCACCCCCTATTACATGGGACTCATAACATAAATAGTGAAAAGTGGGTGTTACATTGTACAGTGGCATAATGTGCGCCTCTGGCTACGCCTTCGGGGATAAAAGGCGTGATGTTATGTTTATGTTATGTACTTTAAATGTAACAAATTCGTACTAAACCCCACAGCAGCTGTAACCCAATGCCATTTAGCACTTGTCTACATGTAGAATAGAAAACCAAATTATATGGAATTGACGTAAATTTTGACACTTGTCAGTGTCATCCCCATACATTTAGTTTTCTACTCTCTCTGTAGACAAGCGCTAAAGTTGCGTTTGGCTAAAGGCACTGGGCGGCCCCGCCCGCTGAGACAGTGACAGTGTCAGAGAAGAAACACCGCAGTGGTTTTAACCAGTAAGAGTCCGGCACAGCCCCCATCGTGGGAACTCTATGAGTATTTCCATAGCATTATTAAAAAAAAACGTTGTTCATAAAATATTTATAGTGACGTACCGCCCGGCCTATTGTCCTCGCCCAGACAGCGATGGTCCCGGAACAGTTTGTTGGTGGCGAACAGGTGCCAGCACACGTCGCACTTGACGTCCGGCATCTCGGGGAACGGAATACATTGGTTACTGATGAAATGTCTGGAATAACAACGTACAAACATATTTTAATGACACATAACATAATGAAAACATATTTTAATCTCAATAATATTTTAATTAATCGCCTCTGGTGTTCCATGTGTCCATGGGCGACGTCGATTGCTTACCATCAGGTGATCCGACTGCTCGTTTACTGGCTTATGCCATAAAAAAAATCTTATACAGACTCATTGGCCGAGTGGTTCTCGTGTGGACTCGTTGTCCCACACTAGGATTTTCTCCTGTGTCGTGTGTACGTTTACAAACATACAAGTTCACATACACATGACACCCAGACCCGAAACAACAATTTGTGGATCACACAAAGAGCTGCTGCGTGCAGGAATCGAACCCGCGACACGTTACATGGCAGCCGGTTGCCCAGCCACCGCACTAACCGTGTTGTCCAAGTATTACTGGGTTTTGTCAAAAATTCTCAGTAGTAGCACGGAGTCTGGAATCGTGCCCGGTATATGGCAATAGGCTCACCCCCTATTACATGGGACTCATAACATAAATAGTGAAAAGTGAGTGTTACATTGTACAGCGGCATAATGTGCACCTTTGCCTACCCCTTCGGGGGTAAAAGACGTGATGTTATACATGTTATGTATGTTATTATATAAAGCTGATGATTTTGTATGTTTGTTTGTTTTACTCATAAACTAATATGGAACAGGGTACTTTCCAGGGGATGACATTAAGATCAAATTTAGGATACTGCCCTATTATAATCTATATATACATAATAAAAGAAAGTCGTGTTAGTTACACCACTTATAACTCAAGAACGGCAGAATAGATTTGGCTGAAAATTAGTAGGGAGGTAGCTTGGAGCCAGGAGACCGACATAGGATACTTTTTGCCAAATTTTGTTTTTACTTTTTACCGAAAATCACGAACGGGGACGGGAAAAAATGGGATTACGCATACGAAGTCGCGGGCAGAAGCTAGTAATAAATAAAAATAAATAAAATACTCTTTATTTCGGACCAGAAGCATCCATAGGTGGTTAGTAGAAATAATAATACTTACTCATCATATGCCGCGAGCTGTCTGAAGTTGGCAGTGCATCGGTTGCATGTATACGGAATGGATTTACTCTTGTGATGTCTGTGGTGAGCCGCCGCCTCGTCCGGCGTACGGAACCACTCGCCGCATGGATTGCACGCTAGTCTGCAAAACAGATATATATATACTTTATATTTCTATTCTATTTAAAAACGTTGCCTCAACATTCGGGTTAACGGGTTGCCGGAGCTCCGGCTCGACGTGCAGGAGAAGAAACAGGGTGGTTTTTAGTCAGTAAGAGTCTGACACTCGCTCCCGTCTCACTCATGGCGGAAGAAGTCATAGAATGATCCCAATATAAAATAAATTCTAGGGTTATCTCTTGTGTCGTGGGTGCGTTTACAAACATACAAGTTCACATACACATGACACGCAGATACCGAACAATAATTTAAGGATCACACAGAGTTGTTTCGAGCGAGAATCGAACCCGCGACACGTTGCGCGGCAGCCGGTTGCCCAGCCACCGCGACAACTATGCAGTCATTACTAATAATAAGTAGTAAGTCATTAATTCAATCAAATATTGATCAGTTGGCCGGGTGGTCGCAAGTGCGCGCCGGGCAACGGGTCTGGGGTTCAAAAATTCTCAGTAGTAGAACGGAGTCTGGAATTGTGCCCGGTATATGGCAATAGGCTCACCCCCTATTACATGGGACTCATAACATAAATAGTGAAAAGTGGGTGTTACATTGTACAGTGGCATTAAGTGCCGTAATGTGCACCTCTGCTTACCCCTAAAGGTGTCATGTTATGTATGTTTGACTTAAAAATAATTGTTTTGTAAACCACGGTTAAACAACTGACTTTAACCTCCTCTTGCATTGAAGTCTTTTAATTAATATAATAAAACTTTCTCCTAAGTGTAACACCTCTGCCTATCAGGGATAAAGGGTGTGGATATTATGTTATGTCAATTATACAATTCTAGTTTAAAGGTACCACATATAGTGACCAGATTGGCGATATATTAAAGAAGGGCCAAATTAAAAGTACCCTTAACCGACGAGCATGCATGAAAAGATGGATGACTGTTAATGAAGCGAAAGAGGTATGTAAGAATCGTAGTAATTGGCGTTCCTTAGTCTCTGCCTACCCCCATGGGAGACAGGCGTGAAGTTATGTATGTATGTATGTAGTTTAAAGGTATTAGTTTAATACTCACTTAGGATTTGTAAATCCCACTGTATGCGACCTCTGGTGGTTACTATTGGCCTGCGGAGTTTTATTGTTCTGCCCACAAACTATACAACTGTACAATCGAGGCGGAGACACCGGCCGCTTCGGGGGCACCTTGACAGGCTTGGCAGGTTTCGATGACCTTGGAGACGATTTCGGTGAAGATTTCGGAGGCGACGCCGGCTTTATTGCGATTCTGAAAATAACATAATATTTATTAATATTGGTGTGGTCTAATGAAGCGTACAGTGTAGTGACATCGCCGCGACCGCGCACGCTGCTTATGAGGAAGAGCCCCTCTGTGGGTCCAAACTGTAGTGTGTGTGACACCTAGCCCTATAGTATGAACCTAACGGGTAACCGGGGCTCCGGCTCAACGTGCAGGAGAAGGAACGGGGTGGTTTTTAGTCAGTAAGAGTCTGACACTCCCTCCCGCCTCACCCAGGCGGGAGCAGTCATTCGATGATTTTCCCCCCTTAAAAAAAAGCCCTATAGTATGTAGTAGTACCATTAGTAATGTAAGTTACTTCTTAAGACACTTAATTAAAGTTACTCGTAACAACAACACGTCTCCCTCATTGCTCCACATTGCAAAACTAGTAGAGCTTCTCAGTATATTCACGTGAGTAACCCGCGATTTTAGTTAATTTAGTATTATAGTCTCACGATAGTTATTATAAAAACATTATTATTATTTACTGGCTGCTCTAACAAACTTCGTTCCGCCTAGAATATGTTTTTCTCACCTTTTAAACCTTCCCTGGACTTTTACAAATATTTCAAGACCAAAATTAGCCAAATCCGTTCAGCCGTTCTCGAGTTTTAGTGAGACTAACGAACAGAAATTCATTTTTATATATAAGATTATTATTGTCTACTTAAACCCTAAGGTTGACTGGTAGAGAATGCCATATGGCAGTAAGTTCGCCTTATATGCCATAAACAAATTGTGTACATAAAAGACTAAGTAAATAAATAAATAACACAACATAACATCACGCCTTTTATCCCCGAAGGGGTAGGCAGAGGTGCACATTATGCCACTGTACAATGTAACACCCACTTTTCACTATTTATGTTATGAGTCCCATGTAATAGGGGGTGAGCCTTTTGAGCCTGAGAAATAAATAAATAATTATTGGTTTAATAACTTAGTATTGGAATTGTGGCATAATGTACACCTCTGCCTACCCCTTCGGGGATAAAAGGCGTCATGTTATGTATTATTGTTTCACATACACTGCTGGTGTAGAAATATTATTATTGCTGATTATATATTACTGATTGTGATACATACTTGACTTTTTTAATCGGTGTATCCAATTTGACCGGCTCTCTGTCCCTCGACCTCTTTAGACGTGGTGTCAGTAACGAATCATCTTCTTGCGACTCCTGTAAACAATTTCAACATTTTATTAACCCCTCGAGCGTCCTTATGAGCACCCGGTGGATCATAAGAAAAAATGCTCCATGCTGCTTTCTCTTTTATAAAATCTATTATTAATGTTTTGTTTTTATTTTGACTGTATTTGTTTTATTTCTATTGTAATGATCCTTGTTTTCGTGTGCCAATGGCCAAATTAATGCATTTTCTTTCTTTCTCAAAATGTCACGTGTGCACCCGTTGGATCGTACGTTCGTTCGTACGGGTAATCCCGTTTCTCCCATTCCGGTAGGATTTTTAAGGTCTTTTGTGTCGTAAGAACCTTCTCATGACGATAACAAAAAAAATTTTAAAAAACAAAGAAAAAATCAGCTAAGTCCGTCCAGCCGTTCTCAATTTACGGCGTGACAACGGGAAACTGGTTTCATTTTTATATATAAACAAAAGTTTATGTTATGAGTCCCATGTAATAGGGGGGTGAGTCTTTTGCCATATACCGGGCACAATTCTAGGCTCCGTGCCCAGTGACACTCAGCCCGTCCCGGGTATCGAACCGAACTTGCGACCACTCGGCCAACGAGGCAATCAAGGATATCTTTATATATATAATTCTTCTGTGAGTGTGTATGCCACTGAACTTCTCTCAAACGACTGGACCGATTTTGATGAAATTTTTTGTGTGTGTTCATGGGGATCTGGGAATGGTTTAGATTCACAAATCAGCCCGGCAGATGGCGCTGCAGTCGATGTTTAGGTTATTTATCCTAAACAGCTGAACTAATTTGAATGAATTTTTGTTTATACATTCAAGTGGATATGCAGGACAACGTCTGTTGGGTCCGCTAGTATATATATATATTTTTTACCTTAGATGGGACTGACGTTAGACCACTATCTCGCCTGGTGGTAAGCGATGATGCGATTATATTATTATTACGACATAGTTACCTGAGATTCTCTCTTCAGAATTGACTTGGGTGTCCCTTTCGGAGATTTAGATTTTGAGTCCTGCAACAAATGTTGATGCATAAATTCTTATAAAAAAGAGTTTTTATCATTAGTCTTATGCCGGAATACTGAAACGTTACTCAATTTTAAGTCGTACTTAAATATCGTGCCGTCTCTGTCATTTTACAAAGAATTTGTAGAGACGGAACTATACTTAAGCACGACTTAAAATTGAGTAGCTTTTTAGTATTCCGACATTAGTCATCGAGTCAGTCAACGAGCATTTAGACACCACTGACAAACGTTGAAGGAAAACATCGTGAGGAAACAAAGTTACTGATTTAAACAAAAAATACTACATGAGCCAGCAACTGCCTCGTTGGCGGAGTGGTCGCAATTCGATCCTTGCGCCCACTCGGTCAACGAGGCAGTCTAGTCAGCTAATATATATGTATCTTATATATATAAAAGAAAGTCATGTTAGTTACACCACTTATAACTCAAGAACGGCAGAATAGATTTGCCTGAAAATTGGTAGGGAGGTAGCTTAGAGCCAGGAGACCGACATAGGATATTTTTTAACCAAATTTTTTTTTTTTACTTTTTTCCGAAAATCACGAACGGGGACGGGAAAAAATGGGATGGTACGCGTACGAAGTCGCGGGCAGAAGCTAGTATATATATAAAAATGAATTTCCGTTCGTTTAGTCTCGCTAAAACTCGAGAACGGCTGAACCAATTTGGTTACTTTTGGTTTTGAAATGTTCATGGAAGCCCAGGGAAGGTTTAAAATGGTGAGAATATAATTGTAGGCAGTACGAAGTTTGCCGCGTCGTCTAGTATTGAATATAATTACCTTGGCTCGGTTTAAGGGTCCAGTGTCTTCCTTAGAGTTCTGTCGCTGCCTCGTGTTCCGCGGCGGCGTGGGCGCACGGCGCGTGAACCGAGTCGTGCGCGGGTCTAATATTGTATGCTCCAACTAGAAAGTGAATGGGTTACAATTATTTTTATCCATATATTTATTTTAAATTCTCTATAAAATACATTTTTAAATACTATTTACAAAAACATAAAAATAATATTTAAAAATACAAAAAATAGGAGCCGACCAGTAGCGGGAGCATGGTCCAAGCTACCGGTGGTTAGGGCTCCAGAGACAGAAACCTCCTCACGATACGTGCCGTTTCAAGGAGCACTGCCTTCTGTATCAGGCCCTTGACCCAACTACCTAACGCTAGCCTCCTAAGGTGGTTGTCGAGGCTATTAGGGATTAACCCATTGGCCGATACGACTATCGGCACAATGATAGCCGAATCTACATTCCACATGTCGACAACCTCGTGAGCCAAATCAAGATATTTGATTTGTTTATCTTTTTCAGCTTTCAATTATTTTTATTATTATTTAAGTAATTTAGGCAGGCATTTGAGACATATTTAGGCAGGCAGTTGAGACATATCTAGACAGGCAGTTGAGACATATTTAGGCAGGCAGGTGAGACATATTTAGGCAGGCAGTTGATACTATCCAATAATAATATTGGAAAAGCAAGTATAACAGCTCACACATAGGACCCACTTAGATTTTAGTCAAATTTCCTGGTCCTTCTCCTGTGTCGTGGGTGCGTTTACAAACATACAAGTTCACATACACATGACACACACACACACACGGAAAAACAATCTGTTAATCACACAAAGAATTGTCCCACGAGTGAATCTAACCCGCGACACGTTGCGCGGCAGCCAGTTGCCCAGCCACCGCGACAACTGTGCAGTCTTTTTTCTCCGCTCAAAAAAAATAAAAATAAAATAAGATATTCCAATACATACCTTAACTTTTAACTCGGGCTCCCTCCTGACCTTCACCTTGGTCTGCTTCTTCTGCTTAGACAGCGGCTCCCCATCATCTGAGTCATCATTCACATACACCGGCTCCGTCAGACCCAGGATACATTCACCGGCATCCGGCTGAAAGTGGAATGAAGAGTCTTATAAGTTTAAGTAGACAGATTTACTTTATATTGTAACTTTCGTGAGACATACTAAATAAATTATGTTTTCGGCTTACTCACGTAGTAATTTGACGAGGAACTCAGTAGCAGCGCGACAGTCGCCGCGTCGCGGGTCGCGAAATGCTGCTCATGAATATGAGCCTCTAGAATGGCTTGAAACTAGTCGAGTTCCTCGTCAAATTACTACGTGAGTAAGCCGAAAACATAATAATTTATTTAGATTTACTTTATAAAGATAATCGTATCTTATATTTCTGATATGACTGTTTCGATGACCGAGTGGGCGAACAAGTGCGACTGCCGGGCAAGGGGTCTCGGGTTCGACTCCCGGGTAGGGTAAAATATTATTGAGTTTTTTAAATATCTCAGTAGTAGCACGGAGTCTGGAAATGTGCCCAGCTGCCCAGTGTATGGCAATAGGCTCACCCTCTATAACATGGGACTCATAACATAAATAGTGAAAAGTGGGTGTTACATTGTACAGTGGCATTAAATGCCATAATGTGCACCTCTGCCTACCCTTTCGGGGATAAAAAGGCGTGATGTTATGTTATCTTTTCTGCTTAACAGGGTCCATTTGTCCCCTAATGTAACCTTGGCTTCAAGTAGACAATTAAAGCTAGATTGTAATTTTATATGATGTTACCATATGAGGTCACATCATATAAAGAAAAAAAAAAGTAGACAATAAAACAAGTGAGACATTTGCTCAGCAGTGGCCTCTTTTAGTCTGTTGACGGTAATCATAGACTATTATATAAAGCGGAAGAGTTTGTTTTTTTGTTTGTTTGTTTGAACGCACTAATCTCCGTAACTACAAGTCTGATTTGAATAAATCTTTTTGTGTTGGATAGCGCATTTATCGAGGATGGCTATAGGCTATAAAACATTACGCTACGACCAATAGGAGCTGAGCAGAGCGTGTGAAACTAGTACAATATACTCACAGCTCCTTTGGGCATGGACTGCGGAGGTAGACCAAGCCTCAATCTTGTCCGTTTGTTAGTCTGTCGACACATCTCTAGGAACTCGTAGAAGTCATTCACTTTATCAACACACAGCTCGCAGATTAATGGGGGCATCTTATCATCTTGGTGCACCTGTAAACATAAACAAAGTAATTAACATAACATACACATAACGTCATGCCTTTTATCCCCGAAGGAATAGGTAGCGGTGCACATAATGCCACTATACAATGCAACACCCACTTTTCACTATTTATGTTATGAGTCCCATGTAATAGAGGTTAAACCTATTGCCATATACTGCACATAATTCCAGACTCCGTGTTACTACTGAGAATTATTTTAAAAACCCAGTAGTACTTTGCCCAACCCGGGAATCAAACCTGAGACCCTTTACCTGGGTCTCAGGTTCGATTGGGTTTGCTCTAAACCAGTTGCATCATGTACAGAATGCTGGTCATGAATGAGCCTCTAGCATGGCATGACTTCCTCTTCACACAGTTAACATGAGTAAGCCACAAACATAATCTATACTAATATTATAAAGCTAAAGAGTTTGTTTTTTTGTTTGAACGCACTAATCTCCGAAACTACTGGTCCGATTTGAAAAATTCTTTCTGTGTTGGATAGCCCATTTATCGAGGAAGGCTATAGGCTATAAAATATCACGCTACGATTAAAAGGCGCCGAGAAGAGCGAGTGAAACCGCGGGGAAGTAGCTAGTAATTAATATAGTATGTCTCATGAAAGTTATGAAAATGAAAAATTTAAAAATATTAAATTGTAATGAAATTTCAGAAGGTATGTCGTTATTAAGAGTTCTTAAATGTATGCTACTTGCATTTGAACTAGGTTTGAGCTTTTATTATGCATAAAATATTACTTTTCAATGTTTACTTGTGAAATTTAGACTTCACCTAACCTTAATAATGTTAACATTAAAATATGCAAAGAAATCGACAGTCTATTGTAGACACTTTGGTATTACGTTCTTTCTAAAGATGGTTCTAGCATATTTCTATGATTTCACAGCCAATGAATCAGTTTTAATTCAATATTTTTAACAACTTTCTCCTATTTGTTTGACAACAAACCAAAATTTTTTGAACTCGATTTTTATGCACAAATTAAAGTGAAGAAGGATGAAATATGATCTTGCGTGGCAGCTTATAAGTTCGAATTGTTATTTAATAGTGTAAAACAGCGATAATTACCTCAATTTGCACGCATTCTCGGACTTTTTGTCGAAGCTCAACTTCGCTGTCACCTAAATCAATTACATTTTGTATTATAGGCATTTTATAGCCTGCACCGGCTCCACACAAACGACATGCTCTATATATTTCGTAAATAGTCTGTTTATCTTTTGTAGAATTCAATTGGCGATCCATTTTCGACATTTTTGCATCTCAAAGAGAATCACCAGCTATGACGACGATTGCCGCTTTTCCGCCATTGAAAATGATACCACAGTGAAAATATGAGAATGAAAAAAACAACGAGAACACTTTGTACTCTGTGTTGTTGAAATTAATAATCGACTAAAATTATCGATATAATTACAATTATTCGGTGCTGGAAAATATATCAACATTTTCTATGTGCAGTGGAGGTATCTGTTTTCCTCGTGGTAAGCGAATAAATAATCATCTCAAGTAACTGAATAAGGGAAGGTACTCCTTATATCTGTCTTTCCCAGCGTGGGCGATAACGCCCCCCTGTAGGCGCTGGAGATCTAAACGGAGGTGAATTGAATTTGGAGGCGCTGAAGTAATTTCGGGGAAGAGAGACCATATGTAACTTCAGTTATTTCACAAGTATTTTAAATTTTGTAGAAAATTCAGTTACTATTTAACATTAATTTATAGACTGTTTTTTAATCCTATTCTATTACATAAATATTTAATTGAAGAATATTCGTGTCTCCAAGTGATAACCAACCAACCTCCAATGATACCTAGCTACCTAATTAAAATAGGTTGGGGTAGTGGTTGTAACTAGGGTGCTAGTTAAAGCTACGGCCCTAACTCTAAAGCTATGTATGGGGCACACGAATGATCCGTGGATATCCCACGATCTCCGGGGAGGCGGCGAAGATACTGTTTGTTTGCAAGAAGCCCGTCGCCAATTCACCATGGCGCAGATCAGTGAATGGTGGTATGAACTCCGGCGCAATCTCATGGCGAAATTGAAGCAATGACTGTTGCAACCAAGGGCCGGGCTCGCTGTTATCTCAGCAATGCATCCGCTATTTAAGAAGTGGCTGAAGAGACGTCAAGGCACCTACCGCCAGACGCAGGTGCTTACCTGCCACGGAAGTCTAAGGACAGAAGGATATCATTACTGCAAGGACCATCCAGAAAACACGGTGGAACATACGCGGTTTGTCCTACACGAATTAAGCACTGCCGTGGCCCAGGGAAGGGATTTGCAACGGTGATCTCTCACGTCCGGGGTCTGGTTCAGGTCATGGCGCGGAAGTCATGCTAGCTAAAGATACGGGGTACGTAAGGGAATGCTCGACCTCACGCCCCAACCGCCGCAGGAAACACTCCGAGAGTCAGGGATCGCGCGTCAGTAAAAGTCTGACACCCCGTCTCGGGTTACCCAGGTGATTCGTCGGATGATTATTAGATTTTTCTCCCTTAAAAAAAAGGGGGAATGATGCGTCGCATTTCGTACGCGTTAAAGAGCAATCCATTAGGAGCTATGGACCACCATAAATCGGCTCAGTGTGGCTGATGCCCGACGGGGCTGCGTCACGAGTAAAGTCAGTTTGAGTCATTTCATGATTGTTTCCCCCCTCTCCGTGTTTGTAGTAAAATTTTTATTGTTGTGACCAAGTTGTTAACGGGACTTTTTTAAGTAAAACGAGATTTGTTGCAAATACCTACTTACAAAAATAATCTCGCCAATAAAATAACAGATTTTCAAAGTGGGTGTTACACGAAATCAGTTTGGGGACCTCTGCCTTCACTATAATTGTAGTTTAAAACAAAGTCGCTATCCGCCGTCTGTCTGTTCGTATGCATGCTTAGATCTATAAATCAACGCAATAGATTTTGATGCGGTTTTTTTTAAATAGATAAAGTGATTCTTAAGGAAGGTTTACATATACAATAATACACCTGTGCGAAGCCATGGCAGGTCGCTAGTATGTAATTAATAAAAGTAACTTTTGCAGTTTTGCCTTTACAATTTACCTTTACAATTATTATTATTACATAAATCAAGGATGTTTGTTGTACTTGACGTAAATAAAAAAATTTATAGAAATAAATTTTTGAAGTTTTATCTTTTGCTCTAGAATGAAGAATTTTGGTTATTTGAAAAAATTACGATGATTGGACATCACTAGATACAAGTCTACTATTGTCTTTGTATATAACCATCTTCTAAAATTCTATTATCTGTGGAATGTCAATGTGCGAGTGCTTTTTGCGTGGTGTTTATCCTATGAATTTTGCTGAAAAGTGCTAAAATATCAGTGTTTTTGTGATATAACGTCAAGAAAGTGTCGGCGCGAGCCGAATATAAGTTCATTAGTGCATTGTTTTATGTAAGTATTCGTTTATTTACGTAAAACCTCGGTCTGTTTGTATAAACCTGCCAGTTTGAATGTGTAACCGCTTTCTTGGGACACGCATTTTTTCTTGGTATGATTACATTAATTTTACTCGTTATCAATGATTTTATGTATAATATCGTCAATATATCGAACTTAAATCCTTAAGAGTGACCTAATTTGCATTATTAACCTGAAACATTTAGTTTATAGCGGCATTCTTCTCAAATGTCGTAAAAAACTACAATAACCTCTGCCGTGTTTAATTTAGTCGTATTATATGTCAAAATCGAATTATTATTGCAAAATTCTGGTTATATTTTTACCATTTCTTAGCAAAATTAAAAAGTAACATAACAGAAACATATCTACAGTGAAAAATTACCGTTTTGTAGCGTAAATCGACATTGCTAAAAATTGAAATAGTTTCTTAGGATTTCTTAAAAAGTTAGTGGTTTTTTTCTTAAATCTAGGTTATACAAACATTAAAAGATTTTAATGGCCTTGTATTCAACTGTTATAGTACTTACAGTTGAATATTTTGACTATAATATACCTACAAAATGAAATAACTGTGCAAGTCAAGTGAAGATGTGAATGTGATCTATACAATCAAGTTTATCATGGCCTACCCTAAGTATTATAAACTTTATAATGTAATATATGCTACATAAACCTTACTAGTTATTTAGTACTGACTGCCTCGTCGGCCGAGTGGTCGCAAGTGCGATTGCCAAGGCAAGGCAAGGGGTCTCGGGTTCGATTCCCGGGTCGGGCAAAGTACTACTGGGCTTTTTCAAAAAATCTCAGTAGAAGCACGGAGTCCATATACCAATAGGCTCACCCCCTATTACATGGGACTCATAACATATATAGTGAAAAGTGGGTGTTACATTGTACAGTGGCATAATGTGCACCTCTGCCTACCCCTTCGGGGATAAAAGGCGCGATGTTATGTTATGTTATTTAGTATGCAAGTATGAAAATAAAGATTAATTCGGTACAGAGACAGTTACCATTGGTTAGCTACTGAACCCACCAATGATTATAGGTGACTCGTTTAGAAACTATATAATTTGAGAATGTGCAGTGACAAATTATACACATACATTTTAACGTGACAACGTCTTATAAATTGGTTTGCCGGGTGCCACTTCAAGAAACTGCGTTACGCTCCGCTCACGTTATGCGCTCACAATGAGAGCGAGTGAGAGGCACGCGTCCCTTCCACTCGGGCATGGTTAGCCCGCCTAAGAGCGAGAGAGACAGACATAAAAAGTGAAAGGCACGCGTCCCTTCCACTCGAGCACAGTTCTTCCTACTATACGAATGAATATTCACATTAAAATTATTTTACCACTCAAAGTCGTTGTCACGTAAAACTTTCGCCCGTATACCGACTTTACAGGCAACCAATTTTTTTTTATGTTTAATGTTTTATAATATTTTGCCCCTACTAGGATTTTTGCCTATGTCGTGGGTACATTTACAAACATACAAGTTTACATACACATATCACCCAGACCCCGAACAACAATTTGTGGATCACACAAAGTTGCTTTGTGCGAGAATCGAAACTGCAACAGATTGTACCGTGCAACATGAAACAGGTGTGTCTGTCGTAGACATCATCGGTCCTATGGGGCCCTTGATTATGTGGGTCCTGGGCACTGGCCCCGAGTGCCCTTATGGAAAAGACGGTGTTGGTAAAGAGTCTGATACTCCACTTTCACCGTACCAAAAGCGACGGGAGTAGACAAGGGATGATTTTTTCTCCTAAAAATAGCTTTGTATAATTCGTGACTGACAAAAATTTTATTTGTAAATAATTTACATACGAATATTAATTTGTGTATGTAACTAAGGCTATCTCATTGAAAAATGCATTTTGTAATTGGTTAGTAGAGTCTATACTTCATTAATAAATATTGACCCTGATTAGCATTTGTTTAGTTAGAGGTTATTCATATTTGCTCGTCAAATATGATCTGTATGATGAAAAGAATTCAATACATTTTGCATTAAATCATTATTTATTTTAAATCAAATTTAAAATGAATTCCTAAAAATCATTCAAGTTCATTGACTTGCATTCTTGAATTTTGATCCTTAATTTTTTGTGGTTATAGTGCATATTGCGTTGAATCTTTCTGTTCCAATACCAAATGTCAATTTAAAAATTTATCTTGTCATCATTTCGAGGTTATTGACCTACACTCATTGAAGTTTGATATTTATTCCTTCACTTATAAAGTTCATTTTACATTAAATCATTGTTGTGTTCCAAAATCAATTTCAAGTATTCCTTACACCATTCAAGCAAATAACAACTTTATCTGGTAGAAAATAAAGTCTACTTTTGAATACAGTCAACTGTTAAGGAAAATGATAACAAGTTTGTTTACAGTTTTAGCTACAAAGGAAATTAAATCTTATTTTTTAAGGCTAAGGTTGATTTTCATTTTGATCTTATTTTGCCTTGGACTGTTTATAAATGACGCAGTTATTCATTTATGTCCAGACGATATTTCACCTTTGTGTGAATAAGATGTCTAATACCGCAAAGGGGTAGGCAGAGGTGCACAAAAACAATGTTATACCAACTTTATACCAATCATGTTCTAAGTCCCATGTAAGTATAATATTGCAGAAATAATTTTAGATATTGTGTCATTAATGAATAATTACGAAAATAAATTTGTTTTACCGGGAATTTGATGTCGAAAGTTCGTGTTTGACGGCCATTTATAGTAAGTATTATGACGATGAAAAAAAATTTTAAATAACGGTTTAGGAAATCAAGAATAAAATGTGCTCAGCAGGAGGTCTCTTGGA